CGTGCGTGCTGTTTTTTTTTGTGTTTTTTTTGTTTCTTTGCCATTTTCATCTGCTTCTGAGTCCTTGAGCCCACCACCGGCTCTTCTGTTTCTCTGGAACCATATTGTACTTTCTCCTCTCGCGCCTAGAATAAGCCTCTCTGCAATATATTTATCGAATTAGCTTTTTGGAAAAAAAAGAATCCCTGGGGAGACATCCAGTTCTGCTTTCTTTGGAGCCAAAAAGCACTTTTCGCCCCCTCCCCCGCAGGCACGGGCTTGCTTCCTGTGGGGTGGGCTCTCGGATGGGAACCCGATGTGAAAACAGATAACCTCTGCCTGTGCCGTGCGCACCAGCATTTCAGCTGAACCGTGAGTCACTGCCAGAGCACGCGAGGGGCCGGAGGGGAAGCTAGGGGCTTGCGCCACTCACTCCCGCCTGACGACAGGTGGCCGCTGGCTCTAGATGCTGGGCCGACGGGCAGAGATGGGAACCTGGGTTTCCTGGGCAGGAGCTGGGGAGAAGTCTTGGAGATCTGATCTTTAATTAATCCTGGTGCGTGCATCTGGTGTCCTTAATTAGTGGTGAACACCTCGAGGGCCCGGGCCGTGACACAGTAATGGTTCGGGTATCACCAATGATGCCAAGGAGACGAGGCACACTAAGGAATGATCATTATGTTTATTCATACACACATAATAATGTATCTAACAAAGCATGTCATGCAAACAAAGGTTAGAGGTCATACGAATTGAGGAAAGCAATGCAGTAATTTATACATTCATCTCGCCCGCTATAAGCCCAGCGCCATCAGGCAGCTGCTGGCCTACAGCTGTCCGTAGGTGCTAATACAGAAGAAAGAAACCTCAACCTCCGTCTCTGTCTTCCTCCTTCACACGAACTGGGGGTCTTAGGCGATGGTTTCCAATGAACACTTTACATGGCAGGTCCTCCACACACACACACGGTATTACGTAGCAAAAGCAATGATTTCAAATGTTTCTGACCATCTAGAAAAGTTATTCTGAGATACCCTAAGAGAAGGGATATGAGGTGAGTTTTTAGACCCTTTGGACCTAAAAGAATAACCGCCTTCATGGATGACTTCGCAGCGTCCACTGACCCCCTCAGGAAAAGAATCAGGTTCTCCCAGGAAGAGCGCCAACAACACTGCGGACAACCCCAGGAAATGCCCTCCCGAGCTACGCCGCAGCGGAGACGAAGATGCCGCTGTCTAATCAGAAAGTGCGAAGCCACCCTCCGTCTTGTTTTAGAAAAAAGGGTTCTTATAAAGAGGACTTGATACTTGTTTTCTGAAAAGTGGGGCTCCGTCTACGCACATAGGAAAGGACTCTGCATGATGCCAGGGGGCGCCTGCCGCCGCCTCTTCCTTCTCAGGGATGCTGACGTGCTTCTGAGCTGCCCGGTGGGCAGCGTCCCCAGGGGACGTCTCTGAATTTCCACCGAGTGGGAGGGGCCTGGGGACCCCCGGGGACTGGAGACAGAGCTGAGGAGGTGCCCTCTCTCCCCACCAAAGGGTGGTCACAGAGCCACGCAGAGCAAGGAGAGGGGCTCAGGGACCCCCGTGAGTGCTACCCTAGGGCTGCATCTGGAAGAGGGACAATAAAGCCATCTTTCCAGGGCCTACGAGTTCCTAGATCTTAGACAGCTGTCCCTCGTGTCTATTAAAAATACGGAGGGCGTCAGTCGGCCAAATGCTCCACCTGAACTTCCCCCCACCGGCACGGGAAACCCGCAGAGGGAGTGCAGGTCGTGGCCGCCCCAGCTGACCGCCGCTGAGCCCTCCTACAGGGAGCGCGTGATGGGAATCTTATCAAATTGTCAGGGGTTTTATTTTAAAAACTCATTTTAAAAGAAGGCCGGAGTTATTAAAGTTCTCTATAAAAAAGTACAAAGAGCCCAGTATACCCAGTTGTTCTCCTGGAGTTAATTTCTCCCTTAAGGTTTAGAAAAAGGTCTTTGGGACCCGTGGGCCTTAGTGTAGGGGCATCGTAAGGCTGTTTGATGACCGAGTCCCACCTCTGGGGTTACTGACGGACACTTGCTCACGGACAGAGGCACAGGGAACCCTCCCAGAGTCCAGGACATCACAGAATTAACGGAACCGAGGTCACCATGATGACGGCCTTCATCCCTGCCTACCTCAGGGCACCTTCCCCGATGTTCTGCATCTCCTCACAGCAGGAATAGACAGATCCCCAGACGGGAAAGGACGGACGTGTTGACGGTCGGCTGTATGTCACAAAATGTAACCCGGGCAACTCGAGGAGCATGTGTGTGAAATACTTCTCAGCACTCAGTCAGGCCAGGGCGCAGGCCCTCCACCCGTCCCTCTCCTCCGCAACCTGTCAGCCGTCGCTGCTCCCGCAGCCCTGGCGGTGCCTGGCTCAGCGCCCACCGGTTTAGAGATCGAGATTATTTGGTGTGAACGGCACACACGAAAAACAGGTGACTCCATAAGACCCAATGAGACAATGACTGTCAGAGGGTGGTGACTTCCTGAGGCTTCTGAAAACGTAGGACTCCCGCTTTCTTCTCTCTTCAGCAGAGAGAAAACAAACCCCAGCAAAAACCCCTAAAAACAAAAACCCTCGAGTTTCCCTTGCAAAGTGGAATCAGGCGGGGACCACGGTTAGTTTTGGTGACTTCCCCACCCACCCCGGCTGCCGGCTGCCCTGTGCTTGGCGTTGGTGGAACCCGCTGGCTTCCAGGGCGGGTGGGTGGTTGGGGCTCAGCTGCTCCCACGCAGGGCAGGGCGGGGCGGGGCTCTGGCAGCTGGTGAGGATGCTGCTGGCACTTGGGAGCTGCTTTGTGAGGCCGAGGCTACGTCCCTGGCCACGGACTCGCTCTCAAGGACCAGCCGGCGGTGTTTCATCGGCACCAACGACCTTGATTCCCTCCCCGGGGCCCTCTCCTTCGCCTCCGTCGGCAAGCCTCCTTCCAGACACACCGAACCCGCTCTTCTCCCAACGCCTCACCCGCCTCCGCCTCCGCTGACCTCTCACCTCTCAGATCACCAGCAGGAGGCCCCCTTGGGTCTGCACCCTCACCCCCAGCAGGTCCCACGCTCTGCTGGAGCCGAGCTCAGGGGTCACGTGCCGGCTGCATTCATCCTGGCCTTGCAGAGTCTCGGGTCGTTCCCAGAGAGCTCCCCACCTTCTGATTTTCCACCAAATCCCCATAAGAAGGCCTCATGAGGAAAGACAGGCAGCGGTACTGCACGAACTTGTGCCTGGTCAGGGGGACAGGAGAGGACTCGACGTGTTGACGAGCAGTCATTTATCAACTTCTGGAGTCAGTTCTTGCCTTGAGTGAACCTCCTGTGAACTCCGATGGCCGTGCTCCACAGCCTTCCATTCAAACCAGACACCTGGTGGCTTTTGCCGAGATGCCGAGAGAAGGGGCTGCAGCCCGCCGGTCGGCAGCCGCAGGGGAGATCCAGCCCGGCTCAGCCGCCGTCCAAGAGAAACTACCGCAGGGCCGTGTGCCGGCCTTTCGGAGGCACGGCCGCTGCGTCCGGTGGAGGCTCAGATTCTGCTAGCTTCGGCCGGCCGGGGCCCTGGCGATTCGGGCTGGAACCTCCTAGGGCCCCCCATCACCTGTAAGGCCCTCCTCCTTCCAGCCCCCACCAGGCTGCTGGGCCTCTATTCGCAGGATGCCTGCGAGCAGGACGGCGCCATGGAATCTCATAGGCGCTGCGCTGGCAGCTTTGGGATGGTCTCCACGTGCCTTATCTTCCCGCAGTGACTGTCTGGGCTGCCGGAACCTTCCAAGCAGGAGTCTCTATCGGGATCCAGGACACAGCATCGCATCGAGCAGGCTGGGTCGTGGGCAGCCTCCCTGCCCGTCCCCAAGCCTGCTGTTCCTCGGGCGGGCGGAGTGCCGGTCCGCAGACGGGGCCTTTTCTTTGAAAACGTCACAGGCTCGGAAAGCAGGCCAGCAGCTGGGAGGTGAGTGTGTTTCCTGGGGAAATCTGAGTGATTGGAAATGAGTCGCTGCTTCCGGAAAGCCGGAGCCCATGCGGGCTGAGCCCAGGCGGGCAGCATGGGCTCGGGGCTCAGGACAAGCGACGCCCAGTCCGAGGGCCTCTCCGGGGCCTTCCTCCCCTCAGCTTGGTGGGGCACCGTCTGTCGTGGCTCTGTTCTGGGCATGAGGACGGGTGAGGACGGGCTCTTTTGTGTCTTAGGCTCTTTCTATAAACTGGTCCCTTTTCTACCAGACCCAATGGAGGCGGGCCTGACCCCCACACGTGCGCTGACCTGCAGGACCGCCGCTCTGAAGTCCACGGCCCATCCGAGGCGGCTGAGGAGTTGCTCTTTCTGGGGCTGACCTGCTCCCCACCCCACTCCCTTCCTTCCCAGGACAGACGCCCCCCGCCCCTGCTCAACGCCCCTCAGTGGGCGTGTGTCCCACCAACATCAGGCAAACAGCGGAACCACGTGGAGGAGGCACGCAGCCTGGAGCTGGTCCTGGGAACCAGGAGAGACGCAGACCCTGGCGGGACAAGGTGGCTTCCATTCAGGACGTTCTTTCCGCCCAGAAGCCGGCTTCTCGAGGGCCTGGCCTGGGATGCTGCCCCCCACGGAGGGCACCCGGCTGGTTCCAGGGCAGCTGGGGGGCCCCTGCAGCCTCTGAAGGGGTCCGCTGGGAGCTCCAGGGACAGTCTGTCTCGGGGAGTCTGCACCTGAGGAGCAGGCGCGCGGTCCCTCCAGGGCACGAGGCGTCTGGTGTGGCCACGCACACGGATTGGCAGGGGCCCCCTCCCCCCTCCACGAGTCACACACAGCAACGCGGCTGAAAGGACTGGGGGGTGGGGTGGCTGTGATCACACCACCTCTGCTCGCACTGGAGTCCGACATCCCCGCTTCCCCGGGAGGAAGGAGGGACACAGCACCGCACAGAAGCTGGTGCTAAGAAGCTAAGAGACAGTCTCTTCCCAAATATAATCCCCCAAAGCTTCCTTTTGCAGGTAGAATCAAATACATATACATATAGCTAATTAATCAGGTAAAGTAGCCATTCATTTCTGAAATTAGATCTATGTTAAAAAATCAGTATGTCCAATACAGAGGCAATGCGCAGGGGGCACACGGGGTCGGGGAGGGGAGAGGAAGCAGGGCAGCAACGAATTTACTAAAACTTAATCACAGAAGCAGGTTAGAAACAAGAGCCTTCACGAGTATAGCACAATTTTCTCTTATGAAATTAGGGTAATACTCTCCTTATGCTTGATACGCTTGTATCAGTGTATAGATTCGCTTGTGATGAAGGTTTATCAGACACATGCAGACTTCATTGCATGATGCATCTGCAAAACACAGGAAAACCCTTCTCGCAAGACAGCATCTCCGAGCGGATGCGCGGCCAGGTCTCCTGATTCTACAGCCTCAGGTGGGTCATTCGGCACTAGCCGGATGTGGGGGCCGAAGCCGGATTGTTTTTCATCCCTCAGGGGATGTCAGGGCCAGAGACGGGAGGGACCGGGTCTCAAGTCAACACTTTAAGTTACTGTACATCGTACTCCCCTACACGACACCGCAGCCTAGTCAATAAATAAATACAAAAGGGGCGGGGCGTACACTTCGCTCCCTAGGAAGCAGGCGGCAAAACATGGGTGTGCGTGGGGGTGGGGGGGAGGAGGGTTGGCTAACAACACTGGTGCGTGGTTGGTGTTGCGGATGGCACCCCGATCAGATCGCAGCGTAACCTCCCAGAGGTTAACACGGACGCGCACACGCACACGCACACGCACCGGCGTGTCCTGGATGGGGAGTGACGTCCTGTGCAAAGTCCTTAGAAGGTTTGGCCTCTTACAAAGAAATGCAGGCATCACGACGGGGAGCGACCGCGTGGGGACGAGACGACAGACCCACGGACACCCACCCGAGGCTTCCTTGCTCTCTTTCCTTAAAAGATCCGGTCACTGCCGGGCCGTGATGGGGTTATGACTGTCAACGTCTGGGAACAGTGAGCTGGCAACGGGCGACTCTTTCCATGGAGAACCAAGGGCAGGTGCTCCGCGCCGGCCCGCCCCCACCCGCCCGGCTCGCTCTCTGCTCTCTGGGTCCCCGTCTCCTTCCCAAGGCGCCTGGGTGGGGCCGTGTCCAGCCCACAGCTCTGGTTGGGGTGGGGGCAGGATTCTGATGGTGAGAACCGACAGACAGGACGGGGAAAACGTATCAAATCGTACCAAAAAGGGGCAAGAGTCTGTTTGCTTTCCAGGAAGGGCTGCCCTACGCCGGAGGCAGCCTCCACATGACGAAACCGGACACTGAGCTCTGTGTTCTCTTCCGCTAAGATAAGGTTCTTGGTTGTAAGAGAAAGGCCCTGCACGGGAGGTCACGTTTGGACTAACAACCGTACGATCTTTCTGGCCTCCGTCTGGAACGAGAAACCAGGCCGCGGCCATAAAGTGTCAGGTGAAGGATCAGGTCCCACTGCGGGAGGGGCGTGGGGGGGCGGGGGCAGGGGAGGCGTGTGTTCCGTGGGTGAGCTTCATACTGGGCTCTGTAAGATGGGGTGCACAAACTGGGGGTTGACATACGAGAACCCTTCGAAATCAGCCTGGTCGATGTTAGCGATGACCAGCTGGTCGGGAGGCGTTAGGACGGGCTGCCCGCGTGTGAAGAACTTGTCGAAGTTTTCTGCGCCTTTGCCACACTGCGGAGGAAGAGGAAAGGGGGGAGGTCAGTCGGCATGCGGAGCGTGGAGCAGCCCGCGGGGAGGAGCCCCCGGGGCGTCGGGCAGGTTAGGCGGGAGAACTTGGAGGCTTGCAGGTCGCTGGGTTGAAAGCCAGGCACAGCCAACAAGAACGAGACTCGTTTGGGTGTACATCTTCACCCCCTCCCCCCGCAGTGAACCCCTCGGCAGAAACGCACTGTGGACAGTGAGGGGACCCCAAGGGGGCCGCTGCTTCATGTCCATCTTACAGAGCAAGCAGGGCCTGAGCATGGATAACACACACATACACACACACACACACACACACACACACGCACGCACATGCACACACACGCGAGGCATCAGTCTTGGTTCCATGTGGAAGGCTGGGACGTGAATGGGGTACAGGCAGTGACCCCTGGGCCTAGAGGTTGGGGTGACTGCTCCACATCTGGTTCTTTGCGACCGCGTTTGTAGTAAAGTAAAGGCGCTGTGATTCGTGCCTTCCAACTGCTCAACCCCTAGGCCCGTCTCTAACCGGCACTGGGGGAGGGTGAAGGCGTGTCGGACGGAACTGGTTGGGGGCGTGTTGGGGGCTGGGGGCTGCAGGCAGAGCCCGCCCCTGTGGAGGCTCTGAGACACACAGCGGCCATGGCAGCCCAGCCCCCAATGAGGCCAAGGGGTGTCCTCACTGTCCCCGCCCCCCAGAGGGGCTGTGGCAGTTGAAGTCCCCCAGACCCCCGGGCGGCTCTGAGACAGGGAGCTGGGAGGTGCCCAGTGACCTGACCACGGCCCCCACACTTGTGAGGCCTTTTACCTGTGGGGCCATGGGCAATGGGGACAAACGCTGCATCAGCAGAGGCTGTAAACGACCCAGCATTCCCAGAGGATGGCTCTAGGGAAGCTGTGGGGGGTCCATCCCGTCCCCTCATCTGAGAAACGGGAGGAAGACGGGGCTCCCTGCCTGGGCGGCGAGGAAGATGACGTGGAGTTTCGCACACAGCCCGGCTTGTGGTGAGCGCATGGCACAGTCCAGGCCCGGGGCCACCCCTCTCGCCCTTTCCCACGTCTCTCCCATCTCCTAGAAGGCTGCCTGGGAATCTAGCCTCACTGCGCTCTCCCCACCTTCTTATCAGCGACAGAACCTGCCCCAGGGACCCATCTCGGCGGAAGGCCGGCCATCAAGGCCAAGCCAGGCCTTCCTCACGGGTGGCATTCCTTCCGGCTGGTTTTTGTTTTCACAAGTGACCACGTGCTCTTAACCGAGGAGAGTTCAGACCAGGGGCTGGTGCGTGGAAATGAGGGGCGTGTTGGTGGGGAAAAGGGGGCAGGTGGGTGGGAGATGAGGGGTGGGGGGGGGAGCTGTCCGGGGCCCTTCCAGCCCCTGCGGAGGCCATGCTAACTGCTGGTCCTGCTATCACGGGGTTTCCCTCCGCCTCCCTGTTCCCTGGGGAACACCGAGCGCCTTCGGAATAAAGGTCAGCGGGAGCGGAGTCTGCGGTCGGCACCTCCACACGCACAGGCCATTCTGAGCCACTCAGAGGCTCTCCCAGAAGAAGGGCACAACCATACCCCCCCGCTCCCCCCTGGACCCACCCTGCCTGGGGCACCCCATCCAGACACTGCTGTTGCGATGACAGCTAGAGAAACAGCCCTCCTTCGAATGCTCCAGTGGTTCTCAACCAGGGACAACTTGGCACCCCACCTCCTTTTTGGGGTGACTGGGCAATGTCTGAATTCGTTTTTGGTTATCATGACTCGGACAGGGGTAGGGGTGCTGTTAGACACTCTGCAGTGCACAGGGCACCCCCTGCCAAGGATTGTTGGTCCAACATGTCAACAGTGCTGATACCAAGATGGCGATGCCAGGCGGAGGCGGTCCTGAGCTCAGACAAGGAGATTAGGCAAGAACGGCCACCTGCGGGCAGAGAATGGCCAAGCCGCAGAAGCCCACGGCGCAGGTGCTGTCAGCAAGCGTTCCCGCCGCAGCAGAGCTGGCTTCAAGGAGAACATCCTTTGGGAACCTGACTGATCGACACCATTCAAATGAATCTGCTGGGGGTGCTCCCAGGGGCTGGGGCAGTGCTCCCTGGAGGAGCAACCACTTGCATGTCTGTTGCTGTTCACGAACCAGGCAAAGATGGGCAAGAAGAACTCCTGCAACAATGGAAAAGAAGGCAAAGTCTCTAAAAGCAAGAGGAAGGCAAGCGCAGTACATGTCCCTCTGCTGGCCGGGGTCCCCCGTCTCGCTCCTGACTTGTGTGTGACCTTTCCCGTGAGGACCATCTTGGTAGCTGGGAGAATCCATCCTCTTCCAGTGGGAAGTTCCAAAGCCAGCGCTTAGCTGCCACAGAACAGGAAACGAGAAAAACCACCGGCTGGCGTGGCTCAGTGGTTGACCATTGACCCATGAACCAGGAGATCATGGCTTGATTCCCGGTCAGGGCACATGCCTGGGTTGCAGGCTTGATCTCCAGTAGGGAGCGTGCAGGAGGCAGCCGATCAATGATTCTCTCTCATCATTGCTGTCTCTCTCTCTCTCTGAAATCAATAAACACACACACACACACACACACACACACACACACACACACACAAACAACTAAAAGAAGAGCTCCTAAGATCTAAAAGGCGGCCCACGCTGAAGCCTGGGGAGGGGACCGACGCTCCAGGGCATCGAGTTCTAAAGCCGTCGCCCAGAGCAGGGCACTGCTGAGGGCTGCCCCTGCTTAGGGGGCCACATGCTGTCAGACCCAGGGCAGAAACCCCCACTTTTAAAAGCCTCACGCCGGCCGCTGACCACGGCACTAGGGGCAAGGACGAGCCCCGGCCAACCGGAGCTCTGCCCTGTGATCACTGCCCACGGGAGTGTGCCTGCAGGTCTCAACGCTGCTCGCCACCGCAAATCGCCCCCTTTTCTTTCCAGGTCCGTCTCCGTGGACTTTTCCTGATCCCAGAGAGAGAAAGAGGATGCCGGCAAACGGAAGCCTTTTGAAACCTGTTCCCTCAGGTGAGGACACCTGGGACGGGACACCTGAGCAGGATGGTGGGGGGCAACGATGAAGAAGGAGCCTCTGGCTGTACCTAGCACGCCCGCCCGCCCGGAGAAAGCCTGGAGAGCGGAGGCGGGATCTGAGGCCCGGAGGATCGAGGACACAGGAGGAACTGCTATTCTCAGGGGAGTCACACCAGAAAGACATCACGTTCTCCCACGGGGGGCGGGCGGGGGCGTGAGCACAGCTATTTTTACCAGAGGTTCCGCCCTGGGAGAAGCAGTGCTAGTTTTCCCACCACAGAGGGGCTCTTCATGCCTGGAAAATCAGTCCTCCACAGCCCCCGAGAAGTGGGGCCTGGGAACAGACACACTCTAATCCTATTGGAGAAGATCTTCAACTACCCGCTCTTCTTTTCTTTGTTTTCTTTAATCCTCACCCTCGGATATTTTTTCCATTGATTTCTAGAGAGTGGAAGGGAGGGAGGATAGGGAGGCCTCTGGGCTGCGATGCCCCACACAACTGATGGGTTCTCAGACGGAGGGGAGAGGCTGCGGGAGGCGGCCCGAGCTTGCCTGGGCCGGTGTGTGAGCCCAGAGGGCATCGGTGCTCACTGGGCCGCGTCTGACACCAAGGAGAAGTGGGGGTACAGTGGGGTGAAGGACCCACCAGAGTTCCAAAGCTCAGGGCAATGCTTTGGGGAACTCGCTGCGCGGGTACCTTTGCAAAGGTCAGGGGAGGCTGTGAACGTCCACCCTCCACGCCCGCTGTGAGGATCGAAGGGGCTGAGGTGGGCGCCACCCTTTCTCAGTGACCAGGCGTGACACTGACGGGAGGCACCGCACGGACAGCAGGTGCCGGCGTGCGGAAGGTGTGTGATCACATGCAGGGCGAGAACGAGCACCGGGAGTAATCCACCCCTCTTCCTTAGCTCTGGATCCGGGACGTCACTTTTTTTGGTTTTTGTTTTGTCTTGACATTCCTACCCGTTTGGTCAGATCACCCATTACTAAAACGAACCTAGGAGATGCCAGGCCTGGCAGAGCTGTGACAAAGCACAGAAAGATTCGACTCCGGGGGCATCTGGGAGCGAGACGCCCCGCCCAGGGCCCAGGTGGCACACGGGCCACTCGCCGCCCTTTGCATTGTGTGTGAGGCCGTGGAGGTGGGCCCCTCGGCTCCGGGCCTCACCTGGGAGAGGCCGCCGGGACTGAGCCACACGTGCTGGTCTCAATCCTGCCCTTTCCCTCGCTGCCCGGGCATGAGAGTGTAAGGGAACCGGCGGGGGGCGGGGGGCGGGGGAGTGTGAGTAGCACGAGAACACCGCCATTTCCAAGCAAATCCACACAAAACCCAGCAGAGCGGGAAGAGCACGCAACCAACCGAGAGAACAGGCGTGCAGCAACGGGAAGGAGAAAGGAGACTCATCAGATGGGACCCTCGCTGACAATTATGAGGCAGCAGGAGGTGCTTGGTCTTAGGGGAGCCGTACCCACATGTCAAGCCCCACAGTCCTGTGCCGGGTCCTAGCGCCGTGTGTTAGTAAGAACGCCGCCAACATCTGCGTGGCCCCTGCCTCCCGGCTGGGTGCTGTCTTCATTGGATTAAATAACCCGCCGCAGAGATGAGCGGACAGTCTGCTTTGGGCCTCCTGGGAGGTCATGTCCACGCTACGGAGCCACCCAGGGAGGGTGCTGGGCCACGGGGCAGCAGCCTGGTCTGCCCTCTCTAGGAAGGTCAGCATGCTCAGGGGAGGGTCTTCCGTGCACGGCCAACGCAAGCAGGTGCAGGCGCCGAGGGTTAAACGCGAGGTTAGTGCGCGCGTGGCGTCACCCGCGGGCTGGAGGTGTGCTCACCGAGGGCCTGGATGCCCACTGCAGCCAGTGTGTTTTGGTACAGAAAGTCTGGAGGATAAGAACGGACAGGGAGAGTGTTTGGAACACATCAGTGCCCGGCCCCGGAACCCCGGCATCGGAGCGGCGTGGACAGGATGCCACAAACCTGCGG